TTCATTGATTTTTCACAGAGGAAAGGAGGATAGAGAGTTAGAAACATCAATGAGGGAGAAACATCGATCAGCTGCCTCCTGCACACCTCCTACTGGGGATGTGCCTGCAACCAAGGTACATGCCCTTGGCCGAATTGAACCCGGGACCTTTCAGTCCGCAGGCCGACGCTCTATCCACTGAGCCAAACCGGTTAGGGCGGTAAATTTTTATATTTTTCTTTTTAATTGATTTCAGAGAAGGGAGAGGGAGAGAGAGAAACATCAATGATGAGAGATAATCATTGTTCGGCTGCCTCCTGCACACCCCACACTGGGAAGTAAGCCCACAACCTGGGCATGTGCCCTGACCGGGAATCAAACTGTGACCTCCTGGTCCATAGCTCCATGCTCAACCACTGAGCCATGCCAGCTGGGCAGAGGTAGATTCTTTAAATCCTTTGGAATATGAGAATCCATTGGCATTTCTGATTACATTTATTGTTTATCCCAGCCTTTTAAAACCTCAAGGGATTGTGTATTATGTACACAATACATTGGTACAGTGGTATATATTTTTTGAGCACGATATATATATATATATATATATATCCTGGACAATCACTTTTAGAGCCCTGAGTTCGGACTACATTGAGGCCTTCATACTGTGAGGAAGCTCAAGCCATATTGAGAGGCCACATGCTCCTGCTGACAGCCCAGGGGAGGTCCCAGCCTACAACTAGCATCAATGGTCCCACACACCATAGGACTGAAGAGATCTGATGATTCCAGCTGTTGAAGTCACCACCAGCCTTCAGGTCTTTGCAGGTCTTCCCAGTTATCACAGAACAGGGATAAGTTGTTCCCACAGAATTGATGAGCATAATGAAATAATTGCTTTTCACAACTGTGTTTCAGGATGGTTTATTATGAAGCAATAGATAAGAGGTACTGTCATCATTATGTACCATAGTGTCTTCTTCCACACTTTCTGTGAAGGAACCAAGTGTCCCCACATAGCTGCCCATACTGAGAGGCAGAGAAAGAAACAGGTAGTGTCAGTGAGATGGTCTGGGGAAAAAGAGGTGAGGCCTCACTCAGGGTGGGGAGAGCAAACCAGCCCCAGAGGGATCCCACCTTCAAAGCCCCTTGTGGAAGGAGCTAGGAGTCTAACTCGCCGTCTGGTTCTGACACCACCACTCCATTCCAGATCCTGCTGCCTGTGGCCTTTTACTCTTAGCAGGAAGATTTCCAAGAGAGTTGGCCACCTCTTTGGACCCAAGTATTAGGTCATATTTAGTTGGCACCTTCTAAGGGAGAAAGGGAAGAGACTGTGAACCTGCCCCTCCCCACCACTGTGGCAGAAAAGGTATTCCAGGGCTGGATTTTTGTGGGTCCACTGCTCCCCGCTCTGTGACCTTGGGCAAGTCACTTTCTCCCTCTGAGCCTGAGTTTTCTCTGCAGTAAAATCGGGCAATGAGTAGTCCTGCCCTGAAAACAGTTCCTGTGTGGATTAAATAAAATGAAGCAGATTTAAGTGCCCAGTCTTAGTAAATGCTCCCTTAGTTTGTCATTCTTTTGGGACTTGTTGCTATATATATTTTTAATTGATTTCAGAGAGAAAGGGAAAGGGAGAGATAGAAACATCAATGAGAAAGAATCATTGATTGGCTGCCTCCTAGATACGCCACACTGGGTATCGAGCCTGCAACCGGGTATGTGCCCTAACTAGGAATCCAACTGTGACTTCCTGGTTCATAGGTCTGTCTATGCTCAACCACTGAGTCACACCCAGCCTGGCTGGGACTGTTGCTCATGTTGAAAACCAAAAAGTCCAGACAAGTAATGTCACTGTGAGCAGAACATTTTTGCTTCAGCCCAAGTCACCCTGTGGGAATGTGGGCCCAGTATAGCCACAGCCTCATGGAAATCTAGCCTAGGACTGGTACAGAGTCTGAGCTGCAGGAAACAAGTTCTATGCTTCTATCCCAGCTCCACTTGTCTCCGCTGAGTAAAGCCAGGATGCAGCTTAGCAGGAAGAAAGGAAGCTATTTTTTCTTTAAAAATTTTTTTTTTTTTAATTTCAGAGAGAGAAAGGGAAAGGGAGAGAGATAGAAACATCAATGATGAGACAGAATCATCAGTCAGCTTTTTCCTGCACTCCCCCTACTGGGGACCGAACCTGTAATCCAAGCAGGTGCCCTGACCAGGAATCAAAGTGTGATCTCCTGGTTCATGGGTTGATGCTCAACCACTGAGCACACCTGCCAGGCAGAAGGAAACTATTTCTGCAGGGTGGTACCCAGTTCACACAAGAGACCTCGATGGGGAAACAGGGAAGTTGAGTTCCTATCTTAGCTCTGCCCATACTTGCTATAGGATTTGAAATACCTGTTACCTCATTTCCCCATCTATAATTCATTTCATAAATACTTACCAAAAGTATTGACTCTGCGTCATTGTCCAGCTCAGGCCCACCAGGGTGCCCAAAGTGGTCCCCCAGGCCTTTTCACATACCGGTAAAAACTATCCTACTGCCCTGGCCGGTTGCACAGTGGTTAGAGAGCCAACTCAGCACCAAAGGATTGTAGGTTCAATTCCCATTCAAGGGCAAGCACCAGGATTGCAGGTTGGATCCCCGCCCTTTCGGGGCCCTGTGGAAGGCAACCAATCCATGTGTCTCTCTCACATTGATGTTTCTCTCTCTCCCTCCTCCCTCCCTCCCTCCTTTCCACTTGCTCTAAAAATCAATGGAAAAAAATATCCTCAGGTGAGGATTAACAAACAAACGAAAAAACTATCCTCCTATCTCTGTCTTTCCTGTCTTTTCCCTCGCCGAGTCCTTAGCACCGCTCAACCTTGGATGGGACAGTGCTTCCTTCCCAAGCCCTTCTGGGTCAGTCACCCCTTTCTCAATGGATCATTCTACATCGATTACCCAGTGTGTGGCGGCAGTGATGATGAAGGGGAAGATGACCAGAGCCTACCCTTCCCACCAAACCATGAGCTTTGTTAGAGCCGGCACAAAGGTGTCCTAAATACAGTTGTTGAATAAATGGCCTTCAGGAGACAAGAAATTCATTTGCTTGATCTTTCTGTCACTTATTAGCAGTGGAATCCAAAGCTTCTCTAAGCTTTGGTTTTCCCATCTAGCAAATGGGGTCCATAATCCCTGTGTTTCCCATCTCTATCTCAGAACTTTCTAAACCATGCTGGGTGACCTTACAAGCTATATGAGGCAGCACAGGGCATTAAATAGTGTGCCAAAATTCATGTCTACTTGGAAATAAGGTCTTTGTAGATGTAATTAAGGTGAGGATCAAGGATGAGATCATATTACTTTAGGGTGGGCCCTAATAATGACAAGTGTCCATATAAGAGACAGAAAAGGGAGTCCTCTAGTCCCTGTCACTCACACCTGGTTGAGAAGCCCCTGAGGCAGCTGATAAGAGCTTAATGTCCACCTCGCACACCAATGATGCCCAGGGACCACCACCTGCAGGCTGAGGAGGTAAAAGCTGGCAGCAAGCATTGCTACTACATTCTTCTTGAGGTGGAAAGAAACTTTCTGACAATAGCCAGACCCAACCTCCATATAAGTCAGGAAATTTCAAGCCACTGTGGTCAAGTACCAATTCTATGCGTGGCAGCCATGGGAAAAGGAACAATGAGGGTTGAGGAACAAGGCATGCGCAACTTCACAGATAGGACCCAGCCCCTTTTTTCACAGGTGAGAAAATGAGATCCAAAGTGGGGGCAAACTTGCCCCAGGGCACCCACTGATTCATGGTAGTGTTTAATTGTGAGCTCTCAATTCTGCCAATCTGCATGCAGAATTAAAGATGAATATGCACAGATCTACTTTTATGAGGGAGAGGGTCCATAGCATTCATCAGATTCTCAAGGGAGTACAAGACTAAAGAAGAGTAGGGAGTGGAAGAGTCCAGGCCAAAGTCAATGGCAAGTCACCGCAGATCTGAGACTACAATTTGTGTCCTAGATTCTCAATCACTGCCCTACACTTGTTCCTCATGGGAAAGGCCATTTTCTTCAATGCACCTGATTGAAGGGCCTAGTTAGTAGAAACACCATGGTTTCCAACGCGTTTCCTGCTGGCATTGCCTATGGACACTGATAGAGAAGAACTAGGGAAGACTCTAGAGCTACAAAGAAGCTACAAACTCACTCCTAAACTGTTCCCAGAAGGCCCCCACGCAACGTGAAGGCCACAGATGCATGGCTTTCAGAGCCTAAACACATTTCTAATAAGATACACTCTGCTCTTTGGTTCAAATTGTTGATTTAGGTCATGCTCAAGTCTTCTATATGTTTCCACAGGCTCCACTGGACCATGCTAGCCTGGAAAGGGTCAACTCCCAAAGCAAATGAGAGATTGAACACAACGGCAAAGTATGAAAATTAATTGAGATATTTAATAGACAGTGCAAACCATAATTTCATCTGAATATAAATGTATGCACATGTTTCCAATGAGTTATCTATCAGTTATCACAAACAGCAACAAGGACCTTAGAGCTATGTTAGAAAAACATATAGCTGGAATTTAACTCTAACAATCTCACTTGTTCTCAAGAGAACACCATCCATTTCATATCAGTATCACAAACTTCAAAAGACCAGGGAAGTGGAAGTGAGGAGTAGGCTAGAATAGGAAACACAGGGGCCAGTACACAGGTGATGGACAGAAATACAGCTCTTGAGGAAACCAAAATCAGATGCATTATTACAGCTAAGGACAAGGAAAAGCCTATGGTTTTTAAAAAACGACTTTTCTGCCAGTACCATACAAGTCTTACAAAGAGATGTGCGACAAGTCAACTGACTTAAAAAGACAGAGGCTACATTTTCAGATCATTTCAACTGCAAACAGTTGACCCTTTCCATTGAGGTTCAGCAGTGGAGTTAGCGTAGTCCAGAAGCTCAATGTTGGATTTGCAAATACAGTTTATTTTACAGAAATTCAACATTATAAACAGCAGGCACCTCCCATCCCACCCGCCCACCCTTAACCCCGCCCACCCCGCTGGGTACAGACCATGCTATGCAGAGTGAGCAGTGATGCAGCCCTACTGCTTTGGAGGGAGATTCGAGAGCGATGGAACCTGCCTGCACCACGTCCTGCCTGCCCTGCACACGCAAATGCCTGCCCATTTGCAGGTCACCAGAGTCTGTCTGGGCCCAGCTTGCAATGGACCAGTTAATTAAAGCTTCCAGCCCAGGTCTCCAATTCCTTCATGTCGTCGTCTTCCTCTTCCTTCTTCTTGGCTGTGACAAGAGAAAAGGTAAATTAGAAGGGCTAGTTGTAGTCCTCTCAACTCATTCTGGCTGGGTGCCAGGACTGTGCCACATGGTGTCTGCAAAAACAGCCCTGCCCTTGCAGCCACCTCATCTCCAGGCTATCAGCAGACTGCCACTCTGTGCCTAAAAGCTGCAACATAAAACTCCAGATAACCAGGCACACTTTGCCCAACACCTCCCTTCCACCAGCATCAGGGCCAGACAAAACAAGGATTCTACACTAAGAGTCAGGATTCAGGGGAGGCCTCAGTTCCAGAGTATCCAAGGTCAGAAAGAGAAGGGAAAATACCAGAAGAGATCAAATCCTTGCCACTTCCCTTTCCCCCTCAAGTGTCTTGAACCACCTCTCCACACCTGTAGGCAACTTGCTGGACATTTGGACTCCTCTGCCCCTATTCCGGCCCCACCTGAACAGCTGACTCAACTCGAAGGGCCATCTCCTCCTTGAAACCAGGAGAATGAGGTGACTAGTCACTCTGCTCCCCGGGTACTCTCTATGCCAAATCAAACTGCTTCACCTTTTCTAGTTCTGTGCGGAATACTTCCACCCAAATAATGGAAGGGGAAGGAGGAACAGGCAGAAGGAAATGAAAGTCTTATAGAACCAGGACTTTAAAAAAGCCAAGCTATTTCCTTCCCACAGTGATGGCCTCCGAGGCCCCAGGCTTTTACAGGTGCATACAGCCCAGGGTTCTAGACAGGGAGCAAGAGCTGTCCTGGAATTAAACTCTCACACCTTCTCCCAGGCCTTATTTGGTGACACAGGGAAAATCATTCTGGGTTCTCAACTGGGGGTGATACCCTCCCACATCCCAAAGGGGACATCTGGCAATATCTGGAGATAATTTTGTTTGTCACAATTTCGGAAGGGGTGCTACTGGCATCTAGTGGATAGGAGAGGCCAGGGACGCTATTCAACACGCACAGTGTGCAGGACAGGCCCCCCACCCAGCCCCAGCCCGAAGGGCAATCTGGCTACGTCAACAGTGCCACGGATAAGAAACCCTGTTCTAGAGAGAACTAGGATAGGACAGTTGTCTCTGGGGCCATCAGAACAGATCCCACCTGGTTCTCAACTCTGGACCCAAACTGAAGCCAAATGACCACGTGGCGTCATGGATGTGTCAGGACTCTGGATAAGAAGTACTCACTGGGTTTTGATGGTAGAGCTATAGAGGGAACATTTGGTAGAGGGACTGTTTCAGGTCCACTGATTTCCAGCAAATTCTTGTCTAGTTCCTCCTGTTCTAGTTCTTCTAATTCTGCCATGAGTTCATCCTGGTAAAAAGAAACATAAGATTTAGATACCCTTGGGAAGCCCAGCCTCCACAGCAGTACCTCTTGCCCGATGGCTGAGGGGACCCACACCCCTTCTGAGAAGGTCAGAGAAGAGATGAACTCCAGGTCCACATTCTGTGACTCAATTCGCTTCTATTGGTGAACATAATACACAATTGAGTAAGACTGGTGTCTCTGTCTGTCTGTGTCCTGCACTAGGGTGTGCGCATCTTGAGAAAAAGGATTGTATCTTTTCATCCTATTTCTTTATCTCAGAACTGGGTGCACTAAGTGAATGTGTAGGAATGTTTGCTAAATTGAAATAAACTTGCCTAGTCTATCAAACTACAGCTGGAAAACATGAAAACCCTAGTAGTGGCAGCTTAGGGTAGGAGCCACAGGCTGTTTAATCAGCTACACCATGGGAATTAGATAGCACAAAGAATCAGGTTCAATGAAGAGGGTCTGACACTCAGTGGACTCAAACCTAAGGCAGAATGGAGTACCTTCAACAGGGTCTATACTGTATTTCAAAAATCTATGAGACTCAGAGTCCTACTTGCTATAGCAGAAACTGGTAGGTGGCCGAGTTCCAGACCAATTCCCTCAGGACTCAGATGTGCAGGTAACTACTTGTTGAAACCAATTATTGACCTAAAGCCTATTGTTGGGTCCCAACAAAGGTTCCTTTACTTCACCTAACCTTCTACCCCCAACGCGAAAAGCGTCCCTCAAATTCGAGAATTAGGGAGGGTTAATACCATGCCCCATTTGTACAAATCTCTGGAGGGATAAGAACTGGTGATTTCGAAACCACATTCTGTATGTGAGAGAGCCTTCCTTCACTAGCACATCAAAGGGCAGCCAGTGTCATTTGTAAAGCTTGTGTGATCTGCATGAAAACACTCACCTCATCAAACTCTTCTCCAAACCCTACAGGTTTTGAAATAGCTGTTGAAATCTCCTCTGCGAGTTCTTGCTGGTCAGCAATGTCCTGCATTAACTCATCAACTTTATCGATGTCCCTGTAAATGAAATGGACAGATGTCATATTAATGATCTGTCTATGAAAAGAGATTCTGTGAGACAGGAATAGAAACTCTATTCCACCCATCTGCTCCCAGCTCCACCCCCTACAATTACTCTCTGCAAGGAATTACTTTTTTGTCTTTATTCTCTTCCACTCGCCCTTTAAAATAGAGAACCACAGAATCAAGAGGATGGAAGTGTCCTTAGGTATCAACTTAATCCAACACCTAAGGAAATAAGGCTTAGCAAAGCTAGGGGCTACAGTCATTGTCTCTCATGCAAACCAGTAAACATGTCAGATGAGACCACAGGACTTTAACTGCTAGGCCAATAGCTCTTCTTCAAGCTCAAGGGAAATTCTTGAACAGGGTCTAGTATGGGGGAATGTGCTCTTTGTGTTATAGTGGAAGCAACAAATCATAAAGTCACAAGTCAAAATGTAGCCACGCCACTTGACAGGTCCTTCCCATCAACTCAAATACATGTGTGGTCCTCTACTAGACTCCAAAGAAAAGGCAAACATGCAGAATTATTTCCTATACACTGTCAACCTCAATCATATAAACATACAATTAACATAGTATATATACATATACTTCAAAGTGTGCACAGTATTTACTGAGCTGTGCTCTGTACTGGCCATCCTGGAGAACACAGAAATGAAGCAGACATGGACCACACTGAGGAAGCTCAGTCCAATGAACACCCACCCCGAGATAACACCTCACTTAGTATTTGAAGGCTACTTTTCCTGCAGCCCCACACTTCTAGAGCAAAGATCAGCAAACTTTTCCTGTAATGGGCCAAATCGTAAATTTTAGAATTTGTGGGCCATTTGATCTCTGTGGCAATTACTCAACCCTGCGTAGCACAAAAAACACCATAGACAATATGTAAATTAATGGGCACAACTGTGTTTCAATAAAACTTTATTTACAAAAATAGGTGACAGGCCCATAGGCTACATTTTGCCAATCCCTATTCTATAGCGTGGCTGAGTACTCAAAAGGAAGCCAAAAGGGGCTCTAAGCACCGCTAAATATATGCTGCCACGTTCAAGCACTAAAACAACTGCAACAATTTTGTTCATGGGAGAGGCCCTCATTTGAAACCTGGTGTTACCCTTGCCTTTAATTATGATTGTAACAAGTTTGATTATCTAGTTGCTTAGGCCAATGTATATGAGGAGTAGCTACCTAAAGGAGGGGCTGCTAAATCAAGAACACTATCAATATGAGAGCCAAAGCCCAAAAGCAAGGGGGAGGCAGAAACTTCCATCAAAAGCATTCATAAGGCCCTAGCCGGTTTTGTTCAGTGGATAGAGCATCAGACTGTGGACTGAAGGTTCAATTCTAGTCCAGGGCACATGCCTGGGTTGCAGGCTCAATTCCCAGTAGGGGGCATGCAGGAGGCAGCCAATCAATGATTCTCTATCATCATTAATGTTTCTCTCTCTCTCTCTCTCCCTCTCTCTCCTTCTCCATTTCTCTCTGAAATCAATAAAAATATTTTTAAAAAAGAAAGCATTCATAAGAATAGAGAGATCCAATGCCCTTGGATGTACACTTTTCAGGGCCCCTGATAGCATCAGGAAAAAGTCACAAACATTGGTTCTAATCCCAGTTCTATTCAAGCTCATACATAACCCAGGGCAAATCACCTCCCTTCTCTGGGACATGACTTCCCCACCTTGATAATCAGAGGCCTGGGTGAGAAGACCTTCTAAGAACCTTTCCAGCTTGAAACTCTGCTCATCACAGTAACTCTGAGTTACTCAGAAAATACTGCTTTACTCCATGAGATCTGCTTCCAAAGGCAGCAAGGTACATAATTCATTTTAGCAGGAGTTTCAAAAAGAATACAAATTAAAACAACCTGAGGTGCTTGAATGGATAAGTCAAGGGGACTGCCAAGGCCATGGCCTGAGCTCCAGGCATTACAGGGCCAGCATTGCCCTGCCACACGAGTGCCCCCCTCCACCAGCCAGTGGCCACGTACATGTTGTCGTGGGCAGCTTTCATAGCCTTGGCGGCATAGCCCATGTTCTTGAGCACCTCGGTGTTGGTGTTGGCATTTTCCAGGGCCTCTCGCTGGAACTCGATGGTTGATAGTGTGCCGTCAATCTGTGCCAGCTGCTTTTCATACCTCTTCTTGCGCTTCAGTGCCTGGAGGGCCGCTGCATAGGGAGAAAACAGAGTTTCAGAGAGTCTAGACATGAAGTAACGTTCCGGATTCACCTGAGTCTTCTCTGTAATTTTTTAAAAATATATTTTTTAATTGATTTCAGAGAAGAAGGGAGAGGGAGAGAGAGAGAGAAACATCAATGTTGAGAGACAATCATTGATTGGCTGCCTCCTGCACTCCCCCTACTGGGGATTGAGTCCACAACCCAGGCATGTGCCCTTGACTGGACTCAAACCTGGGACCCTTCAATCTGCAGGCCGACGCTCTATCCACTGAACCAAACTGGCTAGGGAGTCTCTCTAATTTTTTTTTAAATATTTTTTTATTGATTTTAGAGAGAGAGAAAGAGAAACGTTGATCACCTACCTTCTACACACCCACTACTGAGAATCAAACCCGCTTCCAGGGCATGTGCCCTGACCAGGAATTGAACCAGTGACCTCACTCAACCAACTGAGCCACAACGGCCAGGGCCCTTCTCTCAAATTTTAATGGATGCACCTCAGTTGTTGTTTCCACTATAACACAAAGAACATATTCAGTTTTCTGAGAAACTATACAAAATTCACGTGCAACCAAGCAAACAAGCAAAAGTTCACATTCTCTGATAGCACCCCCCAACACACACACACACACACACATCAAATCATAAAGAGGCGTTCAGAGAAAGAATGTGCTTTAAGGTCAAACTACATTAGGTTCAAAACCCAGTTCACAGACTTAGGTGAGCTACTTAGCTTCCCCAATTGAGGAGTAAATGAGAGAACATAGCAAACATAGTAAACAACCTAGCAAAACATTAAACAGTGGACACACACACAAAAAAAACACAACAGCCCTGACCGGTTTGGCTCAGTGGATAGAGTGTCGGCCTGTGGACTCAAGGGTCCCAGGTTCGATTCTGGTCAAGGGCATGTACCTTGGTTGCGGGCACATTCCCAGTTGGGAGTGTGCAGGAGGCAGCTGAATTGATGTTTCTCTCTCATTGAAGTTTCTAACTCTCTATCCCTCTCCCTTCCTCTCTGTAAAAAATCAATAAAACATATTTTAAAAACACACACACAAAAAAACACAGCAGTTCTAATTATGATAAGGCAATTTTAAGGTATCATTTTATGTCAACTAAATTACAAAAACAGTAAATAATGACTATACCTAGTGATGGATCAGTTAGGGTTAAAATGCTATCTCACTGTACATAGCTGACAACTGTAACTTGTTATAATGCTTCTGAAAAGTAACATGGCAATACACAGCACCAGCCATAATGACATTCCTGCCCTCTGACTCAGTAACTTCCTTCTGGAAATGTATTCAACAAAAGCAGAAAGCCCCATGACTGAAGATGGTTACTATAGCATTCTCTATCATAGAAAACACAACAGAATAAAGACAGAACTCCCTGCCAGGGACAAATCTAGAGTGTGACCATTCAGTCAAGTCAATGTCATCACCTATCTTGGTTTCTGGAATGTTAAGGCTATAGAGATAATCTTGCTTTAAATCAGAGTTAGGATAGGCAATTTAATCATGGTGAATTTGTGGCTGCGCAGGGGCCAAAACCACATTTCCTACTCAAAACCCAGGCTTCCTCCCTTACTGTCCCAATTTTCTCTTTACACTGAAAATGGTCTTTAGCACACATCTTAGATGGGCATCAAAGCCAGAAAGGAAGCTCAGCACAGACTCAAGAAGAATGAATGGGCTGAGTTGGGAATGCTGCCCAGCCCCTGCCTTGGCCTGGACAGCATTAGCCTCACATCCATACAGACACACATATGCACCCATGCATGCATGCTCCTCATGCCTACGGGCTTCAGACTAGAGTCATCTCCTGTAGGCTATAAGCAACAGTCAATCATTTCCTCCATATGTTACATGAATAGGTTCCATGCTCCTTCCACTCACACTCCCTGTTAGCCTAGGCCAGTGGTCAGCAAACTCATTAATCAACAGAGCCAAATATCAACAGTACTTCTTCAAAATAGACTCGTCCAGGCTGAAAACCGACTTCTGCGCATGGGCCACAAGTTTCAATCGCACTGTACGTGCGCGCCCGCACGTGGTATTTTGTGGAAGAGCCACACTCAAGGGGCCAAAGAGCCGCTTATGGCTCACAGGCCGCAGTTTGCCGACCACTGGCCTAGGGTTATGTCCTAAAAACCAGTTGCCAGCCCTAGCCAGTTTGGCTCAGTGGATAGAGCATCAGCCTGCGGACCAAAGGATCCCAGGCTGGATTCTGGTCAAGGGCACATGCCTGGGTTGCGGGCATTAACTCAGGTCACCAGGTGATAAGAAGCAGAACCTCAGTTTCCTCATCTGCTAAAAAGGGTGATTATTTCTACCTTAAAGGGTTGTTGTGAGGTACATATATAGCACGACCCTTCACTGTTCCCCCTTCCCACCTGTAGAATTCACAGTCTCTTTCTTTCCATGCAGTGAACTCTCCAGGATGGTGTCTGGCAGGGATAGTTGATTTACCTTAATCTAACGTCTATGTGTATTTCTTAAGTAACTGAGAACTCCTAAGAGAAAGGGTACATGATTAATTTTTCTCCTCCATACATGGTTTGAGTAAAGTAACCTTAAAATTAGACATGGGGTCAGCATTTGGGCTGCAGAATATGTGCAAACATATTCACAGCACTGGAACTACTCTGTATCTTACAATATTCCTCCATCCTAACCTTATTTCTGACCAACAAAATCTGCTTCTATATGTAGCCAAAGTCCAAAGAGCCAAGCCCAATATCGTACACATAAATATATGCTGGATCTTAGTGTCTTGCCTTGTACTTCTCCAAATTCCTGATGGTTAATTAAAAAAACAAGTACTTTATTCTCATCACAAGAAAATAAATTAATCACCATGAGGTGACGGATGTTAACTAAACTTATTATAATAATCATGTTATAATCTATCCTATCTAATCATAGACAAACATGGTAATTAACCATACCTCCAACACGCTTCCCATTGGCTAATCAGGGCGATATGCAAATTAACTGCCAACCATGATGGCAGCTGGCAGCCAGGCAGCTGAAGCGAACAGGAGGCTTGCTTGCTCCAGTGATGGAGGAAGCCAAGGTTCCCCGCCTGCCGCTGCCGGCCTCTGAGCTGCACTCTAAGAAACAATGTTGCAATTATAGAAGCTAAACAAACCCCAGAAACCTGCTTTCAGCAGCAGAGGTCTCAGAGCTGGAGCCGAGCCTCAGAGCTAAAGCCGGCTCTCAGTTCCAGTGACAGCCATAGAAGGTAAATAAATCCCAGAATAAAAAAAAAAAGAAAAAAGGAGAGGTTGGGAGCTTCAGTCACCCGCCAGCCTGAAAACGGCCCTCAGCCCCTCACCCAGACTAGCCAGGCACCCCAGTGGGGACCCCCACCCTGAAGGGGGTGTGACCAGCTGTAAACAGCCATCATCCCCTCATCTAGGCTGGCCAGGCACCCAAGCGGGACCGCACCCTGATCCGGGACACCATTCAGGGCAAACCAGCTGGCCCCCACCCGTGCACCAGGCTTCTATCCTATATAGTAAAAGGGTAATATGCAAACTGACCCTAACAGCAGAAGGACTGGGAATGACTGGTCACTATGACACACACTGACCACCAGGGGGCAGACGCTCAATGCAGGAGCTGCCCTCTGGTGGTCAGTGCACTCCCACAGGGGGAGCTTTGCTCAGCCACAAGCCAGGCTGATGGCTTCCAGCACAGTGGTGGTGGTGGGAGCCTCTCCTGCCTCCTCAGCGGCGCTAAGGATGTCCGACTGCAGTTTAGGCCTGCTCCCCGCTGGCAAGTGGACATCCCCCGAGGGCTGCTGGGCTGCCAGAGGGATGTCTGATTGCCATCGTAGGCCCAATCCCCCGGGGAGCAGGTGGTCATCCCCTGAGGGGTCCCAGACTGCGAGAGGGCACAGGCCGGGCTGAGGGACGCCCCCCTCCTCCCCGAGTGCACAAATTTTTGTGCACCGGGCCTCTCGTATATATATATAAAACCCTAATATGCAAATAAACCGAACAGCGGAACAACCAAACAACTGATCGCTATGACGTGCACTGACCACCAGGGGGCGCATGCAGAACATGGCAGGTGTCGGCAGTAGGTGGCAGAGCACAGAATATGGCGAGCATCATCCGTGGTGGGATGGTGGAACAGCTGAGTGGGGGCGCCAGACCAAGGCGGGGCGCCGGTCGCTGTCATTAGGATGAGCCTCCGCTGGTTACTGAAAATTCTTTGCTCCCATGTGCTGCAGTCCCAGCGGGTGCTCACACCTGCTGCCAGCACCTGCACCTGCTGCCAGCGCCGGCCCTGATCACTCGGTGCTGTCAGTGGGTATGAGCAGTGGCTGCTGGCCCCGATCACACCTCCGGGCTTCTCCACCTCCCCCTGCTCCTGAGGGGCAGTTGGGGCAGCAGCCGCCACTCACACCTGCTGACGGCACCGGCCCCGATTGCTCTGTGCCATCAGCGGGTACAAGCAGGGCCAGCACTGTCAGTGTGTGGGAGTGGCGGGAGTGGAGCTGCCGGCAGACAGGGGACTGGGGGCCGTAGTGGGAGGGGCTGGGTGGGGGCGTGGAGGATGGGCCGAGACCCGCCCCTGTGCCTACCGTAGCCTCGCAACCCACAGTTCCTTTCAAGGTGCACAAATTCGTGCACTGGGCCCCTAGTATTATATATGTATATCAAATCAATATGTTCTACACCTAAAACTAATACGATATTATGTCAATTATATCTCAATAAAACTGGGGGAAATGGAAAAAATAACCCACGTACTGAGTTAACAAGGAGTGCATATAAACCAAATATTCAAAGGGGCAAAGAGATCCCTTTTCTGCCAAAGAACCTCAGTGTCATTCCTAAGCACAATGGCTTTAACTGAAATCTAACCCAGACCAATAGCAGTTTAAGAGGTTGCTTTTAGCCCTGACTGGTTTGGCTCAGTGGATGGAGCGTCGGCCTGCGGACTGAGGGGTTCCGGGTTCGATTCCAG